ATAATAGGTGATCGGGGAACTCACTTGCAAATGAAAAACTTGCCAGGTGTTACAAAAATATGGTGTACACCATAGGTTTGCAGCACCCTACCATCCGCAAACAAGTGGGCAAATAGAAGTCACAAATCGGACATTGAAAAGGTTTCTTTAACAATCGGTCGGGAGCAACAAGAAGGAGTGGTGGGAAAAACTATATGATGTGTTGTGGGCATTTCGAACCACATTTAATGAATCTATTGGCACTACACCTTATAGGTTAGTCTTTGGAAAGAATTTCCATTTGCTGGTTGAAATGGAATACAAGGCGTATTGGGCTTTGAAGACTTGCAATTTTGAGTTGGGTGAATTACGAACCAATCGTCTAATGAAAATGAATGCCCTAGAGGAGTTAAGAAATGAAGCTTACACAAGCTCATTGATTTACAAAGACAAACAAAGAAATGACATGATGCTAGGTTGAGAGGACGAAAGGATTTCCAAGAAGTGCAATAGGTTCGTCTTTCCAATTCAAGAATAAAGCTTTTTCCCAGGAAATTACAGACATGATGGAATGGTCCATTTATTGTGAAGCAAGTATTTCCACATGAAGCCATAGAGTTAATCTCAAAATAAGGCACTACTTTCAAAGTTAATGGACATCAGGTAAAAAACTATGAAGAGGGGATGCCTAATGAGGAAAAAGAAGGAAAAATCATGAAATTGGAGGTAGCTGCCACAACGTAGAGCAGGAAGGAGTCCGACTCATGACTCCCCAAAAAATAAGCACTTGTAGGAGGCAACCTATGATTTAGAGTTTGCATTTTTCTTTTCTTTTCTTATTTTGTTGGATTTTCACTCTTCTAAATTTCTTTTTGGATCTTGTTGAGAGGCCAAGCATGGAATGAGTGTGGGGTGCAAGTTTTTATGAAAATTATTTCTAAAATAAATTATTTTATTTACCATGACATGGTGGAAGACACCACGATGTGGTGACTTTACAGAACACATCAGAGTAGTTTTCGAAAAGACACCACGACGTGGTGACTTTTTAAATGCAATCATTTTTTAGGGGTTTTAACCTAAAAAAGTTAACTTTTCTTTATTATATTTATTCTAACTCGGACCATGTTTGAAGTCTCACGAGTTCCTTGTCCATTTTATTCCAATTTCGAGTTTCTTAAAGGAAAAGGTATGATTTTTATGTGTTTTTAACAATTAATAATCACGTATTACTGCATCTATGGCACAAATTCACTGTTGTGAACTATTATTTAGGACATTTTGTAAGTTAGGGTTCCAAAATTTAACTTAATTTGGGGTTGATTTTGGTTGTTTTTTCTATGAATATTACTCTGAAACACGTATTTTGATTGCCTAAGTAAACCTTGAACTTGATTTGAGTTAAAATGGTTTGAAATTAGTTCGTTTTAAATTTTTTTTCTCAACCTATTCGTCAACCTTGACCACATGTCGTGGTCCTCATCGTGGTTGGTGCTATTTCATACTATCTTGACTATTTTTCTTCCTAATCCTAAGTTTGTTGTTTGGAATGGTGTGATCTATTTATTGTGCATATCATGTAGGGTAGGGGTCGCAGAAATCAACCACAAGGGGGTTGTCCTGGTTTCCTATGGTACTCTTACCCAAATGTGGTAACTCTTAAGGTTATGGTCAAATGGAATGATAAGTTGGCCTCGTTGAAAGAAAGAAAAGTGCATATACTCACCAAAATCAATTGGTCTTGGATGGAAGAAGTCGAGTTGTCGGATGCATTTGAACCCTACGTAACAAAGGCTTTTGACGGGGTAAAATACCGATTTGTTTACATGGGTTTGAGACATTTCTTCAGGATACAAGAGCCAGTTTACAAGGAGATATGCATGGAGTTCCTGGCCACAGTTCGGTTTAGGATGAAGAAGGGCATTTATGAGGAGAAAAATTATCACATTTTGTTTGGGAGGAGAAATAAGGGAGTTGAGTTTGGCGGACTTTGCATTGAGGATGGAGCTCTATTTACCATCTGAAGTGCACACTGAATCCTACATTGAGTTTATTGCACATTGTCTCAATTCCACTGAAGAATTCAATGAAGCCAATTACTAGCCCAACATTGCCAATGGGGTCTACCAATCGGGGACTGCTTGGGAAAGTGACATGCGGTCTCCCATCCATCCTAGGTCTAGATGTCTTTTATCTTTGAAGCATTATTTCTCCAGGGGTGCTTGTGGATATTCCTTGGCATGTGGCTGATTTTATAGAAAACCGAGTAGGGAAGGATCGCCGGGGGTCACCTTTGTATGGTGACATGTTGATCACTAAATTCGCTAAGTCTTTTGGGGTTATCCAAAAAAGGAATCGTTTATGCTAACTGTGGAAAGGGGAATCGCTTTTTGTCCCCTTCTTTTCAAAAGGGACAATATCATGGTTGACAATAGGTTTGGAAACTTCTTAATTCCAAATAACAATCCAAGAGACTGAGCAAGGAGGAGAGTGAGACAAAGACCCGACGACGTGGAAGAAGAACCCCCCTGTGATTCCAACCAAAGATGAGCTACCAATGGATCCTTACAATGTTTCCATGCATTGTTATCAAGACAATTTGGGAAGAGGTATTAACCACACCAATATGCACTTAGATCTCATGATGCAACATATGAACATCCAACGCGTAAGTGCATATCCGGTTTCTTACCCATACATCCTAACTTGGGATGATCTCTGGGTGGAACAAAATGGAGGAGCTGGAGGAAGTGGAGGTGGAGCGGGCATGAGTGAATTATCCTTTTCCTTTTGGTTGTTTGAGTGGTTTTTATGACAATTTTTATTTGTTTTTGCTTGGCTTGTCTAATTTTCTATTTTCTAGGAATATGGTAATTTTAGGATTTAAGTACTTTGTTTGATTTGTTTCCTTGTTATTATCATTTATTGTCTCTAGAATTCATAGAAGTTTGAGTTTGATGATAGGAGTATGTTTTGAGATAATTTAATGAGTTTAAGTGAGGGGTTAGAAATGCATCAAGAAAGTCAAATTTGAGTAGATTTATTTGATAACATGAGCTGAAGGGTTAGATTTCCAGAAGTTCATATCAACATTAGTGACCAAACTTTATTGACGAAATCTGCTGTTGTAATGAATTTTTTCCTTTTTACACACACTAGAATGTGGTCACAATAACCATACCTACTGTTGTTTTAGCATATGTTTTCCATTTTTCAAATGCATAACACGACGTGGTCTCCATAACCATGACGTGGTGACGATCTCAAGTTCAATTTTCGAGTCCTTTTCCTACACCTAATGAAGTAAATTCTTTCCAAGTCTTAAAGACAAGTTCCATAGCAGTCCAAGAGTTATATTCTTCTTAAGTGTTAAAGACAAGTTCCATAGCAGTCCAAGAGTTATATATTTCTACATATTGGCGAGCTATTCCATACACACGTAACATGATCAACCTCGCAACTTCTATCATAGGGGAGTCTATTCCTTTTCCCACTCTTTACTTTTATGTCTTGCATATCATATAATGGGGATGTCACATCATTTAAGTGTGGGGTAGGGGGTTGATTGCGTTATAAATTTTTTTCTAATTTTCATAATATGCATTCACATAAACTTGAAATAATAGTTTAATTTAGGAAAATCTAGCTAATTAAAAAAATCATTCTAGTATTGTATTAGATGATCCAATGAGAGCCCAAATGTATACCTGAGCCAACACATGTTAGTGTATTTGTGGCTTCCCATTAAAGTCATGAGATATGAAAGATAATTTGGTAGTGTATACAATATAATAAGTTTTGTAGCATGTACCTGAAATCCATCTAGGATAGCTTATGTAGTCATTGCACTTAGAGTAATACCTCTAACCCATAAATGTTGAAGTAAAGCTCCTTGCTTAAGCATGTAGGATTTGAGTGAAAAAAGGGGGAGATAAAAAAAACAGAGAAATTGCAAAAGTTGAAAGAATTTTGGAGCTATCAAATTATGAAACCAAAAGATCAAAAATTATGAAGAATAAAAAATTGAAGACACCAAAAATCAAACAAAAAGGTGGTGAATTCGAAAAAATGGAAAGAAAATATCAAGGACACTACTAGAAAATAGACCTTTAATGACGCACTTCTTACGACAAGCACTGATTAATGATACGCAAAAGGGCGTGCCCTAAAAATAATTTTAGATCTTTAGAAATTTGAAGTATTTAGGATGCGCATTTTTGCGTGGCCTAAAATTAGTGTCTCACAAAAAAAAAAAAAAAAACACGGAGGGCGCATATTATAAAATGCGCGTCATCTGAACGTGTCATTTTATAATCTTTTTTTAATGAAACACGCATTTTTAGTAGGGGGAAATGGCATCCTAAAATTAACCCCCCCCCCCCCCCCCCCGCGCGCGCGCGCCTATTTGGTGCTCTCTCAGTCTCCCTTGTTCCCTCTACTAATGCCTCCACCTTCTTCCATGGATGCTAATCTTTGAATTAGCTAGAAAGAAACCCTAGGGCCTTCATCTTCACCTACATCTAACACCTCCAACCCTTCTTCGTTCGTCCAACATAACTCGGGTTTAATCTGCAAGAAAACCTCCAACTACATCCTCTACATGAAAAAAAAAACCCTAATTGGCAGCCACATGTTGACGTCAGGTACCCTTGAGATGAAAGCCTCATTTTAATGTAGAGATCCTCTTGGGATCTTATGTTAGGGCCGATTTATCATACATTTAGTTCTTACATCCCCTCTAACCGAACCCTTAGCATCCCAAAATAACCCTAATCTTCCGTTCGTTCGTCTTAGTGGCTAGAGAGGGAGTTGTTCAAGTATTTGTGTAGGATTGTCGGATTTGTAAGTCACCGTCGAGGGAGAAGACGAAAGAGGACCTCAAGACAAACTTCAGAAGTGGATGCACAACTGTCCTGGAGAAAGAACTGAAATCAAAGCTTCCTGGATGTAATCTGAAAGCCAGTCCCCACATCAAATCAAGGCTCAAAACCTTAAAGAAGCACTATGATGCAATCACAAATATGAAAAATGCATTTGGTATAGAATGGAAAAGTGCAGATTCCAGATTAATATGCTATGATGATGATGTATGGGAAGATTGGGTGAAGGTAAACCATCTATGATCTATCCATCTAAATTCTCTAACATTCCTCAATTTCTCAACCCCTTGATGAACAACGGTAACAATTTGGAGGGAGAAACGAAAATATTTCAGAGCCAATTTATCTCTCAAAATTTCATGTTTCTTCTTCCTGTTGCCCATATCATCTCTAGATCCAACCCTCATTCATTTCCATCTCCATAATTCTCGCTAGATCGCTTAACCCTCACTCAGTAAGTTCTGCTTTCTCATATTTCATTGTTTTGGTCTCCTGCTTCAATATCAATGTATATTTTTTTGTGTGTGAAGACTGTTTGTAATTGTATGTTCTTGTACAATGGTGTTAATTTTGATATTTTTCTTTCGTTTTTCGATATATCGTTTTCTAATTTCATCTTCTGCATTCGAAAATACCCGATTTTGTTGTTTACTCCGTTTTAGGGTTTTTGGCTCACTTTACATTTATGTGTGAAATTGTTTCGCACATGACGGTTTAGAAGTTATTTTGAACTCGTAAATGTTAGCGATGGGGTTTTATGGAACCAGGTGTTTAGTTTTGATTACTTTAAATTCGTATAGCAAGAGGATATGAAATCAGTCTTCGTTTGATCATTGCTATATTTTTTTTTTCTGTTGTTTTTATTGTTCTCATTCTCAGAAACGTAGATACATATGAAGTGAAAATGGTTAGATATCAAGGAAGGTTTTAGTCAACAGAAATCCAGGTCTTCATTTTGGAGACATTCATGTTCTGAATGCTAGATATGTAAAAGAGTTGGAAGATTTTATTGGAAATGGTAAATTTGCAATATTCTTTTTCCACAAAAGGAAGAAAATCAGTGGAAAATGGAATTGCAAATGAAGATTTCGATGGTGATATGTAGTGGGTCTCAAGAAACCCTCAGGTTACAATATATTTTATTTTTTTCATACTAAATAGTTGTTGATTAAAGATTATATAAAGTTGAAAGTTCTTGTTTTACCCCTACCCCCTTGTCAGCTATTGCATTACTTTTAATCAAGTGAGCCATGGACACGTTGTTACTCAACTCCAAGTTGATCACTTAAAAAACCAAGTGATTTCTCACATCAAGAATTAGAGCATCAACTCTTTAAACAACTTTTTTCTACAAAAACACAAGTAAATTCTCTTACTTACTTACTTCTCTATAATAATTAATAAAGATGAGGAGGGTATTCAAGTCTTTTTCACATACGCAAAATTCCCTATCCCATCTTCTCATGTGGGAAAAAAGTAGCAAACTTGTCCTATTTTGTCATTTCTTTATTTTTTTAAATTTTGAATATCTTTTAACACTTTTTTTAAAAAAGAAAAAAGAAAAAAGAAAAGACCATTTATGTGGACCTTAAGGGTATAAAAGAGGAAATTTGGGGAGTTACTTTAGTGATATCTTTACAGAGATTAATTACATAACATGTTTTACTTGATGTTTTTTTTTCTTTTCTGAATAGAGATCTTGGTGGAAGCCATTGACAATGGTGGTGGATGTAGAAATGATGTTCAAGAAAACAGGTATGCTAAAAATGAGTCAACAAGACTTGTAGAGCCTTCTAAAACTAACAACAATTCAGAATTGTCACAAGTTTAGAATTTTTCTTCCGCAATCAAAGAATCAGAAGATAAAACACAGACTGAAACTCAGACACCTGTCAGTGTTGGTGTTAGTACACGTGGCTCTTCTGGTGGCCTAACTGGCTTGCTGAATTTTGGAAACACTTGCTTTATGAATAGCACTATTCGATGTCTTGTTCATACACCATAATTTTCTAGATATTTTAGAGAAGATTATAACCAAGAGATCAACTGGCATAACCCTTTAGGAATGGTGGTAAGTTTTAACAGAAACCATTATTTATTATTATTTTTTTATAATACTGGTTTTGTAATTTGTAGGGTGAGTTAGCTTTAGCATTTGGTGAGTTACTGAGGATGTTATGGGCACTAGGAAGGACTCCATTTTCTCCAAGGCAATTCAAAGCAAAGCTTGCTCGTTTTGCACCATAATTTAGTGGATACAATCAACATGATTCTCAGGTTTGTTATTTGTTTCATTTAGCATTTAATGATATATATATATATATATATATATATATATATATATATATATATATATATATTCGACCCATTTATGTATCTCTCATTGCCACTTCAATCAACCACCGCCTGAGCAATTCCTAAATTTTTCTATTTTTGTTGCCAATTATGGTCCTAATTCCTAATTCCTTATTATTTTGACATTTTTAGCCTTGTTTCTTTGTTTGTTTTTCACTTCTCACTATTTTCTTTAAACTTTTTGGTCGTCATTATGTTCTTAATTAAGAATTTAATTTATAGTATAGATGAGGATTCTATTAAATCAAGTTTGTATTCCTGTAGAGTGCTATTGGGGAGGGTATGACTCGTCGAGACCATTCTGATGTCTCTAACCAGGAAAAATTTGTCTCCCTCTTTGTTATGTCTTTAATGTATACAAACCACCCCTACAATTGGAATACAATTCCATTCCAATCCTGCATTTGGTTTGCTACTTCAATTTGTTACAGATGTTTTCTCCTTGCTAAAAATAGTCAAATAAACATGTATTAATTATATGTTACTTTTATGTATATCCAATAATAAACTTGTATTACGCAAGCCATCTTCCTTATTGGTGAAATGATGGAATATGATGCGCCCTCCAAGCTAATGGAGTCGGATTCTTATTTCTCAAAGCTTGTTGCCGAGTACTGGTCCAACTGCAGGAAATGATCCACGAGTAATTTCTTTTCAAGTTAAAAGTAAAAGTAAAATTTCTTATTATTCGTTATATGTATATATGTATATATATATATATATATATATATATATATATATATATATATATATATATATGTGTATATATGTATACACATATACATATATTTGTTAATTCATTATTCTTTATGAAGATTTGAACTTGATAGTAGATGATAATAATGGAAATTCTGGAAGAATAATATGCAAGTTATACAAAAATTTCAAAAGGGTATTTTGGGTATTTGCTAGTAGATATTAATCCACAAGGTCTTTTTGTTAAGAATATATGGTGTTTGTATCGTTTGTAGAGAGTTTAGGGTAAACCTTATCACATCTCACATTTAATTATCATCAATCATCATAATTTTATGGTTTTAGGGTAAAGGATCTGAAATGTTAATTTATGGTGGAGGTCCTGTTGCATATACTTCACAACATATGAGTCAAGTTATTTTATTATTGGTGCCTTTTGTATGTCAATTCAGCAACTTCTCTGCAAATTCTGAAATTTGCAGTAATTTTTCTCATGTGTATGGTAAAAATGGTGGACATCACTAAACAAATTTCATCTAGGATGTTTTTCAAATTGACTACAGGTCCTTCAACTTCAAGCTTCTTATTTGTACCAATTTGCCATGTGCAGGTTCTGACAGCTCTAGCAATCTCCTTCCATGCCCTGCAGCCTCTCAAAGTTCCTGCATCCAGGTTATTCTCTTAGAAAGGAGATTGTTAAAGGAGAATTTAGTCATGAGTTTTTTTTAATGATGTACATGTTTTGTTTTCTATAATAAATATTATGCAATATTAGCAATGTGTTACATTTACTTAATATTGGAATGATTATTTGTATCTGACATATTAGTGCAATGAATTATATTTATTTTTTATGGTATTTTATTTTGTATTATGAGATTTTTAATGTGTTATTTAATTTGAAAATTAGTAAATCTATCAAAAATATATAATTTTAAAAACATTTTAAATTATGACACACAAAAATACGTGTCGTCTTCTTTTATGATAGGGGCTTCCTTGATACGCATTGCGTGTCATAAACACGCACGTCGTAAGTTTACGACACACAAATGCGTGTCATCTTCCTTTATGATAGGGCCTTCCTTGATACACATTGCATGTCATAACTGCACGTCGTAAATGCGTGTGATAAATGCGCGTCGTAAATAGACAACGCGCAAAAGTGTGTCGTCTCTCATTATGACAGGGCCTTCCTTGACACACATTTGCGCGTCGTCTGAGCGTTTTATGACATGCATTGCGCGTTGTAAAAGGTTGTTTTTCTAGTAGTGAGAATAGTTGAATTCAAAGAGCTCCATTGTGGTATCGGAGTTGTAATTCTTTCTAGAATATACATATGCTTGGTAGTTTAACCAAAAATACCTTGAGGTTAAGAAAGATTTCCGAGGATGGATTCGGAGGGTTGAAAAAATGAGTGTCGTATAAACTAAGTGATGAGGGTTCATATTTAGGAACATAAAGTTTTTAGGAATCATAGACACAAATACATGCATTGTGGTCTTGGGATAATGACTGGGTTCGGAATGGATTGTTTTATGCAACATTGGTAAGTTAAAAATCAGTTTTCTTGAGGGAAAGCAAAGGTTAAGTGTAGGTTTGAAATGGATTGTTTTATGCAACATTGGTAAGTTAAAAATCAATTTTCTTGGGGGAAAGCAAATGTTAAGTGTGGGGTATTTTGATATGTGCATATATATATATATATATATATATATATATTACGTCATATCTTAATAATTTTTGCCATTTTGTGTTTATTATATGACAAAAGATACTTAATCTATTATATATTGTGATGTAGAGGAAAAAGACATGATCGGGAGCAGAAAGGAAGCTGGAAGCTAGGAAAATGAAGAAAAGTCTATATTATCTATAGTTTGTTTGTATGTTATGTGTTGTATAGAATTCTGCAAAAGTTCTGCAATGTTCTGAAACTATATTATCTATAGTTTGTTTGTATGTTTTGTGTTGTACTGAAAACTTTGCAATTATAGTTGTATGTTGAAAACTTCCCTTATGCTTAACATGTTACAAAAGGGATAAAAATACCTAAATATTTTTATAAAGTGTAGTGTTTTTCTCGGTTTGTATCAATTGCAAAAGTTTTTAAATCTATTTGAAATTGTTTGCATAAACACAAAAATCCTTGTGTTTTACTTGTATTCCCCATGAAAACATTAAATATAATAAAAATGGAGGGGGTATGAACTCACAGTTGTTTGTGCACGTGTTGGACAACAAGACTAGAAAGATGACCCTCGAGTTGATGTACGCGGAATTAACGGATTCCTAATTATAATTAAACACATAACTGTATTTAAGATTAGTGGAATCATTAATTTAAAGTGTTGGAAACACTTGTTTTTTGAGTTACGAATAGTTACCGAGATTGTTTGGAGTGAAAGGGTGGGTTTTCGGTCAAAGATAAATCCGAAAACTAGATTCTCGGTTTGGTGAGTTTTCGGCCGAAATCAGGTGTTCGGTTCTACTGGTGTTTCTGGCCCTTTTAAGATATGAAGGCTGTTATTGGTGTTCTTGAGGAAAAATATGAAGATTTGAAGGTTTCCTCTTGAAGATCTAAGTGTTCTTGGATGATCCTTGGGAGAGATTTAGGAGTGTTTTCGAGTGAAAAAGTAGGAAAATGACGAAGTTTTCGGATGAAACAAATATATACGGTTGGGTTTTCGGCCGGAGATGCGTTCTACTGCACTCCAGTTAACTCCAATGCTCCATCAAACACATCCAAATCTGCTCCCAAAGTACTACTGCACTCGAATTATCTGAGAATGACATAAAAACATGAACAGTATGGGAATTCTAACGAATGACATGAGTTGAGCATTATGTAAACTAAGGACATGAAAATGTACAAATTATGATGCTAAATGCTAATAAAAAATACTCTAAAAGATGCATAAAATGACATCTATTAGTCGTTGTGACTTTGATTTGATATTTTGAGTTTGTCTTCTTGTAATTTGCAAGAGTTTCTGGAAAGTGTTCTTATAGAACTCTAGATAATTGCACAATTTAATTTTAAATATTCAGGATGAATTCTTGGTGGTTCTTTAATGCTGTTTCTTTTTATTTCACCAATTCTTTTCACCATCTCATCAGTATCTCGATGCTTCTTGTCAGATGCTTCGGAAAATCAGGCCATGATGTATTCAAAGTTCATTTTCTTCTCTTGTCCACATGTTGCTTGCATCTCCCTTTTCTTTTAAATTCCCATTTTGAGGTTTCTCATAGTAGACTTGAAGGCTCCTCCAATAATCATATTACTAGAGGATAACAATGCTTGGACTTTTTGGTTACCATCATCATCTAAATTACATCTTTTAAGAGGTGTGATTCGCTAACATTGTCAACTCCATTTCGGATTGTATGAATTGTTTGATTTACTCTCTTCATGTCTTTCCCCAATTCGTCTATCATTGCACTTAAATGACAATACCGTCAATTTTTTTTTCCAGATGATTTTTTTTCGAATGAAAAAGTCCCTTGAATCATGCTATTGATGAGAATGCTAGGCAAGTTCTTCAATAATAGCATAACCTTCAACATGATTTTTCTTGGAGTAGGTCTTTTAGATCAGTCATTTGACGAGTGTGTACGTCTATTAAAGATCATGTTATGGGCAGTTTTGTAACAATTCCTTGTATCGATCCCACACATTATATACTATTTCACCTTCAATTTGTTAGAAATTTTGGATGTTGATATTTTAGCGATCTTTGATTGTGGGCTGAATTGAGTTATTATTTTTTGTTTAACTATGCCCAAGTAGTTATAGAGGCAGTTGGTTTGACTTTTAACCAACGTCTTGTAACTCCTTCTAGTGTTATTGGAAATGCTCTAAGTATTACAACATCTTCAGTAACTCTTGGTGTGTTGAAGAAATTAACAGTCTCTTCCACGCTTTCAACTTGTTCCTGAGGTCTTCATTATCCCTTCTCGAGCACTGTTTTGTAGTAGCTTTAAGAACTAATCATTTAATTCAAAATTTGTTTCGGCATGTATCTATGGGAGTACTAAACTAGGTTTTACTTATTTCTTAATTCGACGTTCATGTTCTTCTAAAATGTTTGATAAGTCTTTTTCCTTAATTGAAATACCTATCACATAAGATGATTTTTCGTGTCATGATTTACGATAAAACAGAAAAACAAATTGTAAACGGAAGTTAAAAACTAATATGCAAAGTAATATGTAACGATCTACAA